ACTAGAATAGACCAATATCAAAATATTCCTAAACCAAACTTCCACCAAAAATAGTAGACAGGGCGAACTTCGGGTCCATAGTCACACAGAGTCATGTATACTTACACGGAATTGATGGGGGCAGGCGCGAATTCGTTACAAAAGAAGTATAAAAACTTTTTACAAATATCTTTTTTGTGTGCAGTTAAAAAATCTGTAAAAAGAGTTTTACTTATCAAAAATTAAATATCTTTAATATTTTAAATACTATTTATTTAAATTTCACAATAAAGTATATTATTTTCTATTATTATTTATAATGTTAAATTAATTTCTATTAATTAATTTTTATTTAAATAAAATATTAAATTAAAAAATTTTAAGTTAAAAAAGAAAAGTTTTAAATATTATTAAATTAAGAAAATTTGAAATTTTTATAAATAGTTAAACCAAAAGTCATTTTTTCTTTATACAATAATTTTATTAATACAATTATAAATTTTAGCTTCTATTTAATAGAGAATTAAAAATTTCATATTTATGTAATTTAATTAAATTTAAAATATTTTTTGAATAATTGAATATAACTTTTATAAATTATTTTATAAATTATTCAATAAACTTGATTAAAAAATATTTTTTCTTTAATTCTTAATTAAAAACTGATTTTTTTTAACTATTTTAACTTGAAAATATTATTATTATATTATAAACTCACTGATCTATTTAATAAATTTTCATAGTAAATATTAATTTTAATTATTTTTTAAAAAAATATTAATAATTAAAAAATATATACTATTAACAAGTTATGTTATTAATTAAATAATATTTACTGTATTAAGATAAATCAATAATTATGATTTAAATTTTTTTTTTGTTTATAAAAAAAAACAATATAGTAATATTTCATTAATTTTATCATAATTTTATACTTACAAGAATTTTGATTCATAAATACTTTTTTTATTATTCTTGTAAAAACAATAAAATACTATATTCTCATATTATTGTAAATGAATAAATAATAATACTTTCTATGATTTGTAAATGAATGGAACAGTTAATTTATATCAAGACATAACAGGCTTCTATTTTCTTGGTGGAAGTTTGGTTTAGGAATATTTTGATATTGGTCTATTCTAGTATGTTATAATTTCTTTTTATAATTTAATTATGAATTAATCTTACTTTGGATAATATGTGCAGTTGTCACGGAAAGTAGTGCCCGATTTTTATAAGAAATCAGGGCGATACTTTCCGTGGCGACTGTATGCATGTATGAGAAATATCCTTAAGTACAGTATGTATGTATCGTATTACGTATGCTATTCATTAGTTAATAATATATGCTGTACATAGTCTAAAGTATTCCAAAATAACAAGTGAGCTATATGTAATAATCATCATCCAACACAGTAGCATCAAATCTACAATCCAATGATAATTTTTCATTCTCAACATAAACTGGAGGATGCGGTTTTATGTTATTCGTCATCACGTAACTCATGAATTGATCGGGAATCCCTTTGAGTACAGCTTTTGGTAACTGATGTTGAGCCGTTTTTGATTGAAAATCTCGCAGCGCAACAAATTTCACAATATTTCTTTCCGGTTTCAATAATGCCCTCTCGTTTCTATTGCCAGACTTTGATGGAATAATATAAGGAACAAAATGCTAAGCAACCGTTGAACGCAAGGCTAAATATATCCATACCTTCAATGGATAGTCTTCAGAATCAAGGATGGTCATATCAGTGAAATCGGCATTCCCCACACCGACAATAACTATGGACAGAGGAAGGGAGCTGGCTTCTATTATTGCCTTCATGGTGGATTCCATGTCTTAAGAAATAATAGAAAAATCATTAACACAATTCAATAATCTGAGCGATAATAGACACTTTACTTTTAATTACCTGTAATCACCCCATCTAGGAGGAATTTTGAATTATTGAAATCTTTTATTCAAATGCACGGTTGCAATCATGAAAGCAATGAAAACGAATTTTTTTAAAAAAAAATCATGCCTGTGATGATCAGCATGATATAATAAAATCCAATTTCTCCTGTTTTTAATCTTTCCTTTATCTTTCTAACCGTCTGCTCTATAACCTAATATTCCCACATGATAAACGTAAACTTTTGAACCTAATAATTTCAACAATTCGCTCGCTTGTCCATGATATGCTTACCGGGGAGAAATACGTGGGACCATGTAATTCCACAAACTTGATGGTTCTAAAATAAGCAGCCAACACTCCGTTGATCCCCTCAACCTCAGGCTTAAACAAACAATTAATTAGCTATTAATCAACTTTTGACGATGTTCGAGGGTTGAGTGTACTTTCACAATTGTCTAACAATGACATACATTTTTCGCGTCGTGATTTAACGGGTAAACGTGAGATAATGCTCCACCAAATTTACCGCCAAATCCATATACCTGCAATAAATTTCAATTGGTGACTTGATCTTCGAAACAAGGTGACGATGCCAATGACGATCTGTGTAACGCACCGGAAATCTTCTGTCATAACCGTAACTCTCTAATCTACAACAATACGAAAGAATTGATGCTATCTATTTTCTTTGGAACAAAACATGATGAAAGTATGAACGCCTACATGCTTCCGACACTTCGAATCGCTTTTTGGTAATCATTGTCCTTGGTACCATTTGCATAATGTAAACTCTTTAACGATCTGGGGTCTCCATTCGACGCAGTAAAATCGATGGCCACTGCAAGGCTTATTTGCGTGCCACCGAGGACATAATCCAAGAACGTTGGTGGTTCTTCGATTTGTGCTTGAATAATTTCGACGCGTGCATTTTTGCTAGCATCACCGGAAGGCAACCAAAGGGGAAATTTGCGGTTACCGGTCATGATTTCTCGGAGAGTAAACGAATGTTGGCCTTGGATTGAGTTTGCTAAAGGGTTTTCGTCATAAAATTAATTGCAATCGTGGAGGAATGCTGAATTCGCAAGACATATTTAGACACATACCTCCATTCCTTTTGCGTTGCTTCACTTGAAATATTATTTTTCTATCCGGGTCCCCATTACATAACGTAGCTTCCTTGACTAAGGCATTTGTTGATGATCAATGAATGGAACTGAAGTTTTAGCCGATTGATATACATCAATAAATAATAAACATACTGGTGAATGCTGGCCACAAAGGATTCATTGATGCAACATCAGTTGACTCATAAACGGGTGAAATTGTTTTATCCTCATTGATCCTGCTTAGGACAAAAAACAATTTTGGTTTTGCCTCAAAGAATCTACCCTAAATGTTCGGAATTTCAAGATTACGATAAAATATGCAATAATGTCGTGCGGTCTGAAACCATTGTTTACCTTCTCTCCAACATTATAAGATTGGAATTGAAGCCTATTTTATTTGCATGACAATATTTAGAGGTTTGGCATAAGTAAAAGAAAAACAAAAAGAAAAAAAAATCTTGATATTATTCTACTTACCTTGCCTCCCTCTTGGAATTGCTGAGTTCTTTGGCTGTTATAATTATGAATCCACGTTTTTTTTCGGGATGTTTGGGAGAGAACAGTTTTCCCTTAACCTTGCTTCCTCGGCTTCCCACTAAACTAACATCGGTTAGACAGTTTCTCCTGAAAAATCATCGCTGAAACCTTTTAACATTTACGTATTGATCCAAGATCACAATCGAATCGTCCAATGAACTCCTGAGCTCCCCAATCCGTGCTCTTATGATTATTTACATTAACAACTAAGAACCTGTGGTGCAATAGACAATGGTGTGTAAATTTCTCAAAGAAGAAAATTGTCACATTACAATTTACCTATACTGTTGCAATTCTTCGAAAGAGTAATTCACCACGATGCTTTTTACGAAATTTGGATTCTTATTATTCTTGATAACTTCGGTTGCATGCGGGGGATGACACCACCTTTGAGTTTTTGAATCCTTAGTCAACAATACGACCTGAGGATCAGTTTTTGATAGATAATCTAAGTTCGATAATTCCGCACAGGATATTTTGAGCTCCACTTGAGCATGCGCGTATGATGAATCTTTCATGTTTAAAAAACAAAAAATGTGGAATGCAAAAATTTTGTCGTAATGTCCGGAGAACTTGGATAATGCTCCTATTTAAGTTTTACAGGCTTGCTTTTTTGGGGTCACTGTTTTACACATGTGGTTCATGTGAAACTGGTCGATACAAAGCGTTAATGCTTTTTTTTCGTTGCCATGCGTCAAAATAATTTAGAAATGAGTAGATAGGCAAACAAAGTAAAATGGTTTGAGCAAATTGAAATAGTTAAACGAATGGACAAAAATAAACAAAGGAATGAACGAATAAATAAGTATAAAAATAATTAAATAGTCTAAAAAATCATTCCTACAAAATAAAACATTCCATCGAAAAGGATATAGAATCTTCCGGGAAAAATAACATTACGATTAACTGGTTTCGATAAAACTTAAAAAATTCATTTGCTAATTAAATATTTGACATATAAATACTAAAGACAATTAATTCTTTACTCAATGTAGCAGAGTTCTAGTTGCTATTTTCGATCACGCAGGGGTGTTCTCCGTGGATTTTTTGTGCGTCACCCTTGCGTCACTAATATAGCACCTTTGTAGGTGCGAATACAGTTATTTCGAGTGAAATTTCCGTACTATAAATAATTTATATTATTTAAAGTGATTTTCGGATTTATTTCTGGTATATTGGAAATCCGGAAATCAAAATCTAGAATTGCGGAAATATAAAAGTCAAAAACAAAGTATCTTCAATTCTATATGCTATGCCGTAATGCTTTATGCCATAATAATATATGCTATGCCGTAATGCTTTATGCCATAATAATATATGCTGTAACGTTATAATGCTACATGCTGTAATACTACATGTTATAATGCTATGTGCCGGAAATAATAATAATTTATAAGAATCGAAAAAAATAAAACAATGAAATAGAGTTGTATTGGCCATGCCAGCTCCGCTGATAACAATGATCGAGAATTTTTCTTGGAAAAAGTGATCGGCGTGATAAATTGTCACGCGCGTATATATTATTCAAGGAATTTTCCACGCTCATGATATTCTTAACAATTCACTATATATAACCAATTCAATCAATTGTTGTAGTTACATAGCATTTATGAGCGCAAAATTTCTAGACAATATAAATGTAACGTGCACGATTTTTTTTATCTCAATTTGCCACCATATATTTCATTATCTTTTAGGGGATCGGGTTTCATTCAATTCCGCATCAATTTCAGGTGCAATTTGCCTTCGTTCCCTTTCGTGTTTTCTAAAAGTGGTTGTTTGACTATTTTCTCGATCTCAAGCGATTTGTTCTACATTTCCTCATCAAGTTAGGTAATTATTTATGGTAATGTAATTAGCAATGATACCACTTACTTCAAGCAATTTAAGGATACAATACGCATCCTCAAGTATCCCAAGTTCATCCTCATAAGACGATAATCTGCATCGATCCACTAACCCAAATCTGTATATACCGGTTCCTGACCAATCCATGGCATAAAAGTTCAATTCTAAACCTACACATAGAAATGGAGGTTATTAGCAATTAAATCAAACCTACATAAATAATGTTGACAAAACTTACCGAACTGGAGCCACCCGTATACAATTAAATTTGTACGTTTTTCAAATGCTACGTGATTACATTCTCTTAGAAGTCCATTTATGCTGCCCCGCATTATTATCATAAGCTTTACTTTGTCAAGATAACGCTTTTTACGACAGGCAGTGGGTATTCCAAGAGGACCCAACCCTCCCGATACTTCTCCATAAATAATTTTGAATTTATTAGTTGTTTTGATAAGAGTACTTTTCATGTCAACGCGTCTACCTATTCTTGCTTTTTTAAACGGACTCGCTTTTTCATTACGTGCATAATTTGTGAATAAAGCTTGGATTTCTCCCTGGATATGTAGAATGGTTATTATTAGTTCTGAATATTTGAAATCTACTCTCAAATACAAATGTAAATAAATGATCTACCAAGCATTTTTAATTTTATCGGATGTAAATATCCCACGAAATAGAGGAAATGTCGAACTCATTTTTAATTCTTCCTCCGTCATCATTCCTTGAAAACTGGATGCACCGCTTTTCCTGTACAGAGAATCAGGGTCAGCCAGATTAAAAATATAAACAAAAAACATATAAATACATAAACTGGATGTTTGCATCTAGTTTTCCGATGTCATTATTATAATCTGCGTTTTTCGCACAATTAGCATCAAAGTATTCTCGTACATTCTTTTTTGGTGGCATTGTTTTCCAGGAATTTTTGTCAGCAAATTCTTGTGAAAGTTGTAGTATGGCCTCTCCCGTGAAATTTTTACAACCATATAAACTTTCTCTGGTTAAGTCTAGAATTCCCCAATATGCGGGACTATTGGATCAAAATAATAGAATGTATCATAAAACATACGTAAAAACTCTACGGATTTTTGGAATTGTCTTTTGATATTTGTAAAAATATTCAACAATGCCTGCATCAATATTTTTTCGTTGATCCTATTGAGGGCAATATAATGAGCCTACTGAAAATATATATTTCCATCTGTTAATCATTAAATTTTACCTTTGAGACGCTATTACCGCTAACTTGTGGCAATATATTCTCTTGCTCGAGTACTTTTCATCAATACATTCTACAAGAGCATCTTCATTTGATTCATCAAATAATAATGACAATCCTTAATAATCCGGGTCCTCAGCATCTCTTTTTCTTTTCAAATTATCTTTACAGGCCGACTTTCCATTCTCTTGGGGTTCTTTAACCTTTTCCGAACTAGTGCCCTTAAAATAGACATTAGCGACATTGTCATTTCTTATCTATTTTACAGAAAAATCATTTAAATACCTGATCTTTTTGTTTACATTTTTGTTACAAGTACAATAAAAATTCGTTTATTTTGTAACTTACATTAAGAGGATTTGATTATAATGCGTTATTTTCCGTAAGTATATGGTTTGCGTTACTCCATTTTTCAACAATTTTTGTAATTGTTTTTCGTAGTAAGTGACCTTGATCTCGTGTATCTTTTGTCGCGTCTAGAACATGTAAAGACTAAAATGGATATTTCAGTTGCAGGTCAAGGCAAGGTTTCAGGAATTAAAATTCTAACCTCTTCGAAAGAAATCAAATCATCCACTTGTTTCTTTTCCATATCCATCCAATATTGTTTCACTGCTATTGAATCAGCTTGTTCCTAGTTTATAGAGAGTTTGATGAGTAGCTACTTCTAAATCATTTTGGATAATATGTTGCACCAAAGGGATACACGCAACACAGAGGTTAGGAGATAGCGTGGAATCCACACCGGCACTGAGGCCATCCCCCATTGACACAGAGGTCGAACAAAATAGCTCCCTCGACGACACAGAGGTCGCATGAGGTTGGGATAGGACAATGGCAAGCTAACAATATTCTCCATTGACGTACGACACAAAGGCCAAGTGGAAAGATTGGGATAACAGATGTTATACCATTAAAATGTTTTAGACAAGCTTGCGCGCGAGTTCTTCTTTCTGGCTTGATGGTATCGTCTTTAGAAATGAAACTAAGTGTTCCCTTATACAAACTGTAGGCTTTGTTTTTATTTGTTGGACGCTTGTGTTCCAGGAAGCCAAGTAACGAGCAGTAAATTAAATCTTCGAAGTATGCGTCAGTAGACATAGTTTCATGTTTATTTTACACAAGTTTTGGATTTATATGAACCGTTATGCGATCAATAACGTCATCATTATCAATCACAATCATTGGTCGAGATCATGTGCCGAACAGAGAAATTTCTCCATGGATTTTCCCTTGCGTCACTAATACATCCTGTAAAAATATACGTCTATTCACGTGCCTAATAAAATGATCGGCACGTAACGAAATTCGCGAAATTTGCGCGAAATCGTCTATCCTTATTAATAAAATAATTTTTTAATAAACAAATATCAAATAAATAAATAAATAAATAATAATACTAATTAATATAAAAAAATTATTTTTTTTTAATTGGATCAGTAATATTGGTTGTATACAAAAATCAAATTATTCTTATATACTTAAACTTATGAGAAGTACAATGCATGATATATTTATCAAATGATAAAAGTTTAAAAGACAATATTTGTAAAAAGAGAAAGTTATAATATTGAATATTTTTTTTAACTATATTATAAATATATTTCTTGAAAATATAATCTTAAGTATACAAAAAAAAAAAATAAAAGAATATAACCTTTTTCAACTAGATGGTAATTAACATGGTACTATTAATAAAGGAACTATGGTTTCTTTTAATAATAAAAAAATATATTTAAATCACTTTTTAGATTTATATAAGGTATATATAACTTGAGAATATAGTAAATTTGTCTATACCAATATCAATTTTTTGAACTGTAATTGTAGCTACTTGCTTGAGAGAAATATAATTTATTATTAATAAAGAATTTATCTGTAATAAGTATGATATTAATAGAGACAACTTTTATATAATTAAATAGAAAATTAAAATTAAAATAATAGATACTTTTTAAATGCTACAAAATAATAAAAACATAAGTTATTTATAATTTTTTATTAAAAAATACTTTTTATCACTAGTCAGATAATAAATTACATAATATTATAATATTATTAATATAAAGTATAACTTGTAAATTGTTCTAAAACTTGATCAAAAAAATAGTATTTACTATAAAAAAATTAAAAAAAGATAAAGAAGAAGAATATTATATAAATTATTAATATAATTTTTATTAATAGATTAATATATTTTATTAATACTTGAAATATTATTAATAAAAAATAAATATATATATATATATATATAATAAAAATCATGTTAGAAGATACTAGTTATAGATACTCTTTCCGCTGATCCTAAATTTCCTAAAAAAATTTCTTTTTTTGGCAATTTTCTTGGAAAAACCAGAAGCCAGCCACTACACAAGACAAAAGTCTTTTAAACA